GGCCAATTACACATTACACACATATACAAAGAATCCAGAGTAGCCCATGCAATTTTTATTCTACGGTTAAGGAGGTCAAAGTGTTGCATGCATAAAATCAAGGAAAAGACTTCGCCACTTAGGTTATATGGGAAATCAATCGTTATAAAAAGGATTAGGTATCAACTTGGCAGGTAAGCGGGGCTTTTCCCAGACTAAGCCCGTACACTAATTTATTTTCCAAACTAAGTCTAGTTTGGCCGAATTTCCTAAACTAAGCTGAAACGTGTTTACTAAACACACTTTCAGTATTTTGTGGTCCAGACAAAATACACAAAATTATGAAAGCGTGTTTAGAAAAGGCGTTTTTAATTAAGGTCGCACGATAATAAATCGCGTGTTTACTAATTATCGTGTCAATTAATAAAACGCAATTGAAAAACACGCAACATGAAAACGTGTTTTAAAAACACGCTTTCAATAAAATAAAAATAAAAAAATTTAATTTTACACCCACATCACACACACTTACGCTCACACTCTTTTCTCTCTTTCTCTCTCTCCCACACACACTTGCACCCATATCACTCCACTCTTTCTCTCACACACACATCCACACACACTTATAATAAATAAATAAAAATAAAAATAATTAATTTTATTAATTATATTTATTTTAATAAAACATATATAATTTTTAATATATATAAATTTTATTTTTATAAAATTAATACCAATAAAAAGATATCAATCATATTTTTAAAATGAGACCAATATTAAATATATGTAATAATAATTTATAATAACAAATAATAATCACTCTGTTTGATTTGATTATTATGTATTATTATAAATTATGGTTACATATATTTGATATTGGTCTATAAAAAATAACAATCACTCTATTTGGTTTGATTATCTTTAAAATGAGACTAATAATTAAAAAAAATTATTTAAAAAATATAACCAAACCAAACAGAGTAATTATTATTTATTATTATAAATTATTATATATATATATTTAATATTGGTCTCATTTTAAAAATAATTTTTTTTTGGGGGGGGGTGTGGGGCCATTTCATAACAGGTTTCTATTAAAAGCGAGTTTCCAAATGGTGCGATCATTACCTGAAAGCACTACAACAAAAACCATATTTTATAGCATTCGATGAATGATATCAAAAGTAAGCAATAGCATTCGTTGGAATGCTATGTTTGCCCATGTTATTAAAAGTGTATCATTTTTAATAACATTTATCGAATGTTATCGTTGAACGTTATCGTAAATATATTATAACAATTTTTGAATGCTATGAAATAGTTAAAAGTTACTAAAAATACCAAAGGATAACATTTTGTTAATGCTATAAAATTGTTTTTATAGCAATCTAGTAATGTTACAATTTACCATATCATAACTAACTAAGAATGTTATAATAAAGCATGATAACATTTTTTAAATGCTACAAATACCTCATTATGATAGCAATTTTAAATGCTATCATATAGTATTTATAAATGAGCCGTGCTTCAGACCCCCAGTGGGAGTCGCACCCCCAGTGACGTGGTAGCACGGGGTTGGTGGAAAACATAAAAATAAATAAAAATAAATAAATATCTTTTTTTTTTTGGACCAATGAGAGGCGACCCCCAGTACCCCCACTGGGGGTCCGAAGCTTTTTCCATTTATAAATATAATAAAAATCCATTCCAACACCAATATTGGAAACCTAAATTCTTCAATTTTTTTGTAGTGCAAAATCTACCGATACATGTTCTCACCTCCACAGCCGTCAAATGCGGAGTTGGAGAATTTACTCTTCGAGATAGCCAGAGATGTAAGTCTTCTCATAGAAGGTATAAAATAATATAACAAAGTATCAATTCATTTCGTATATGTTTTTTTTTCATTTGATAATTTAAATGTTAAACCTTTTATTTAAGGTGTTGGACAAGAGAAAGCTTCGAGGGACAGCAAGAAGAAATTGACTAGGAGAAGGAGTCAATGAACAACAGTCACAGTGAAGACAAATCTGTGATTCTCCCCAACACTTGTAGGGTTTTGACTTCATCTTCCCACAATCTTTTTGGTGTGGATGATTCAATTAGGTTCAGTATTGTTGTTAATTATAGTTCAATGTTCTGTTTTTTAGTTCTTTGATTATGTTGCTTTAACAATTAGTAAATGAGCTCGATTATGTGGCGTCTGCAAGTGTGTTCAATTAATTCTTGATGTTGAGGAAGAATTCATCATGTTTTACTCCCAAGATTGGTTCACTAGTGATCTTCCTACCCTGATAATGACTCTGTCAACCCAAGTTTCATTCAAGTTCAGTCCTCTCTTCTCGATCTTGTATTGATCCGTGAGCATGGTATCTGTGTGTGTCAGTTTCCGACCACACTGCCAAACAAGTACTCAGCTGGAGAACACCGACAGAATAGATTAAGCCCAAATGACCTGTCAACAAAAAGAAAAGACTTCGGCGGTGGTTCGTCCACTCGGGGGCACTCCGATGATCAAGTCAGTTATCTCTCAAAGATAGCAAAAGTGCTTAACTCACTATTCAAAATACAAAAAGCGTACCTTAGACCCACGAGGGTGCCTCTCTTTTATAGCCAACACTGACCTAATCCCAATAGAAACCTAGCTTCAATGGTCTCTGGCTTAATGCTAATCCTGGACTCCCAATTAGATTGGGATAAACTCTCTAAGAGTCTTATCTTTACCCAAACTGAAGTCCTCTCTCATTCTAGGACTCTTGTCCCTTATCCGCTTATCCCGGATTCCAGTATCTTTGTAGATAACCTTGGCCTAGCCGACATTATCTTGGCTTCATGTCCGAGACATGTGGCACCTCGGCTGGCACTCCGGTACCACCTCGGCCACATGTTGTTTATTCAAAAATCATGTCCCCACAACTGCCCCATAGGTTCTATTACCTCGACATCCTGAGGTGATGGAACCTATATCTTTTTTTCTATTTAGCACATCGGCTAAGCTCGCTTTGTCTTTCATTACCGAGGTCATCATACGTGGGCTTAATACGACCAAGACTTAGTCTGTTTTGTCAATGCCTTAGAACCATAACCCCAAATTTTTTCAAGTTCTTTGGCCGAGATCATACCCATAACCGAGATCTTGCTCTATTAAATCAAGAACTCCAAGAGTTCAACACGTGTATGAGCTGTCACGCACAGTATTTCAACCGTTTCTGCCACGCGTCCTTCCCCTACTGAGCCGTTCCCGACACGCGCCATCAAGTCGCATCGCTCTTGCGTGCTCCGTCTGACAAGCACGTCATCCTAAGCATAGTAATTGCGTTTTTGCCGCCATTTCATGTGTTTGATCAAAACTACATCTCTCTCTCTCTGTCTTTTCACTTTTTCACCATCATTTTTGTGCAAACACTCTCTTTCTACTCTCAAATCCTCCATTGTTTCAAACTCTCAAGGTTTGCAACCACTCCGTTCACCTCCTCCGGCGAGACTTTTGCTGCCCTTCTCTGATCGCTGTTATCATCTGACTCCAGCGTATCTCACTCCGGCTTCTTTTTCTTTAGTGAGTTACTTTTTCCCCCTTCTTCAGTTTTTCATACTTCTGTTGCCTCTGCTTACTTGCCATGACGAACACATTCATGTTCTTCATTCTTTGTCTGTGATTTAAACTTCATCATTCGCATGTTTATTCGATCTACTTTTGATCCATGACCTTTATGTACACATTGTTCATACACTTGCTTATTTTGCCACTGTTCCTGACCTGGTTCACCTGTACAAACTGTACTCAGTGTTCTTTGAGTTCTTACTCATTTTCTTAAGTCTAAATCATGTTCTTGTTTTTGTTTCTATTTTCTGTGTGTTTTCCAAATTCTTGCCTTCAATTTTTGTTTCCATAGACTTAGGTTTTGGGATTTGCCTTTAGAACTTCCAGATTTTAGGAAGAATTGAAACAAATTTCCTTCAGATCCTCAAAAACCCTAGCCCCAGCATCCGTTTTGAGTTTAAGCCGAGGTCCTTAAAACCCCAAAAAACACTTTCTTCTAAAATCAACACCCTTCCTATTTAGCCGACATTATGGGTATGTTCAGGTGGAGAGTAAATACCCCAACCAAGTTAGAATACTTTAGGTAGAAGTTTTCCATCCCTGTCGACGTTCATCTTAGGTTGGCTGGGAAGGACGACTCCATCATGCCCAAAATAGATTCCATGCCTTTCCCAGTGGTAGCATTTCTAGAGTGTGGACTTAGGCTCCCACTTGACATCCTTTTCTGAGAAGTTCTACACTACTACAAACTGAACCCAATGTAGCTTGCCATTAACTCTTACCGAGTTATCAATGGCATAATTGCTTTAGCCAAAAGAGAGAACGCTAGGGTTACCCTTGCCAACATCCAATACTACTACACCATGTGTGGCCGTAAGTCAGAGAAAGGTTACATCTACTACCTTAAGCCGAGGTCGACAGAATACAAACTCGTTGCCGACCTCCCAGACTCAAACAAGGGTGCTTGAGACGATTACTTCATTGTCTCGGGCAACTGGGAGTTTCAACCAGTTGATGACCTTCACCTCTATCCTCTAAGCCGAACAGTTTTCAGAGAGGGAGACGGTAAAAGCCAAGTGTCACTTTTTCTAGCTTTCAAGTCTTTCTTATTTTGATATTCTTGCATGTGTTGACGTCCGTTCGTTTTGTCTTTGCAGTTCTTCCTCAGCCCCCGAAGGACTTCCGAAAAAACTTCTACCCCAACAAGGATTTCAAGAAGCTACTGGACTTGCCTATTAACAAGCGCAAGGCTCCTCTACTTTTGAATTTTATCCCGACTTACAGATTTGTACTTCCCGACGTCCCAAGGAAAAGCAAGAGCAAGTCTCCTCCATCAGCTACAACTCCACAAGCTGAATCGTTAAGGCCTGACCAAAGATAAACTTCTGATCTAGCAGAGCAACCATCAACCTCCGCTCCACAACTAATCCCACATTCGCAACGCAAATGCCAACGTAAAACTGTAGCCGCTGCCAAGATGGGTCGTAAGAAGGCTATAGCAGATGACCTTCCAGCCGACATCCCCACCACTATTACGGCACAACCATCACCATTCCAATCTCAGCCAAAGCCCAAAAGGCTGAAGAAAGCACAACCCAAGGAAATGGTAACTTAGATTGACTCTGAGGACACCTTGTCGATCTCCTAAATTGCTGAGGTGGAAAAAAGTGCCTTAGTGGCTGAAAAGAGGCCTGCCGAGGCCGCACCCTTCGAGTCAACCAGGTCAAAGAGACCGAGGTTCGAGTCGACAACAACCTCGGGCTCTCTGAAGTTTGATGCCCCCTGGGCTCCCCCAATCACCATTGAGGACAAGCCGGTCAGAGCTTACGACAGTGCCGACGACATTGAAGTCGGTATTGCCCTCTCTACCATCTTGCTCCTTCCCAATGATCTCAATCACAATGCCGAGATGAGTGAGTATGAAAATTTTGCTTTGATGCTGTAGCGCTCCGTACAGGTAAGCCCCCATCACTTGGTACTCTCCACTTCTGTCTTTTTATACTTAGAGAATTTTCACTAACATTTGTTTTTTCCATTTCTTCTAGGCGATCCAATATAGCCACTCCTTTGCAATGCAAGCCTTTGCTATCAAGAAGGAGTTGGCCAACAAGACTAGGGAGGCTGCTGGCTTGCAGAAGACCATCAACAAGGCCGAGGCAAAGATGAAAACCTTGACAGATCAGGCCGAGGCAGCCAAGAAGGCTCAGGATGAGGCCAAGGAAAAGGCTGATACTGCAGAGGCCATTGCTAAGGTCCTCGCGGCTGAAAAGAAAGAGGCCGAAGCAAAGATGATCGAGGCCCAAAAAAAGCTTCAAGATGCCTTGGCCATAAAAGAGGCCGAGATCAAGGCGGCAGATGAGAAGGCATACACCGAGGGGGTGGCTGACGTCAAAGAAGACTACAAGAAGCAAGTAAAACAGGCATGCAACGAGGGTTTCACCCTTGGTTGGATGGCTGCTTTGAAAGAACTGGCTGTCCCCGAGGACTCCCCTCTTAAAGAAAAAAGCTGACTCATTCCGCCATTCCCCCCTACTCCAAGCTAATTCGAGGCTGAGTCCGAGGAGGAAGCTGAGGCCAAGAAGACGGAAGAGGCTACAGGGGCCAAGTCCTCAACTTTGAATGAGCAAGTTGACTTGACTCAGGATGAGGAAGATAAAGTCTCAAAGGGTGCCTCATCCCATAAGACAACCTCTGAGGTGCCTATCACCGAGAAGAGCATCGATCTGACTCTTCAAGAGATCTACACTAAGCTCGAGGCTGAGAAGGCTGCCGAGAAGTCTTCCCAACTGTCTTCTGGAACCGAGACCCAGCCTACCGAGTAGTCTTGTTATAATCTTTTTCGTTGTTTTTTGTACCTTGTACTTTTTTCCTTACTTGTGAAACAATTGTTATCTTTAATTTGGTCAACGTGCCTCCTTTGTAACCCGAACAAGTAATCTCTTTGTCAGGCCGAAGTGCCCTTTTTCTTCTTTTAATGCAAGTACAGCTTCCTCTTTCTTTTACTAAGTGTTTGAATGCTTGTCTATCTTGTATGCTTCCATGCTTAGAATATTTTGCATGTTTCTTCAAAGTACACCTTAACTGTGTAATTTTCCCGGGGTAAAATACCTCGGATATACTTACTAGTAGTTTTATCTCGGCCTTGAACTAACAGTTGAAAATATTTTTGATATTATTTTCATAGGTGTTATTTACTATTTGCCGACTCACTCTTACTTACCAAGGCTTCTGTCTTCCACTATTTTTCAAATCTTGGTAATATGGTAATCTCGGCAATATTTTGCAGATACTTCTTTAGAAATAACTTTGGATTAACTTCAACTTGTAAATTCTTCTCAAAATTTCAACAAATGTTAAACCAGTTTTAGCATGTAAACTCCAACTTCCAAGCATTATTCTCTAACTCTCTGCCCCCTAATATGAACTTAAGTTCCACTTGGGTTCTCATTAAGCATGTGGCATTGATCTTGTCATCGAGATCAGATTCAAACAGAGGCTAGTCGAGGTCATTAACCTCGGTCTCCCTATTAATCTAACTGATATAGGTTAATTCAACTTTTGGCATCCCCTAAATAATCCATCTTTTTATCTTTTTATCTTTTTTCCATCACATCACCTCTCTACTTTTCTGCACATCTTTTCGTAAAAAGACAAAAAGTGCACTTATTTAGATCATCCCAAATAACCCCATAATGCAAGTAAAAACTCTGCCATATAATAAGTCTAAGTTATTCGTCATTTTCAAACAGAAACATCGCCAACTTAGTTCAACTCTATTATATGCAAGTAGAAACTCTGTCATATAATAAATCTAAGTTATTCGTCATGTTTCAATCAGAAATGTGGGGACATGATTTTTGAATAAACAACACGTGGCCGAGGTGGTACTGGAGTGCCAACCGAGGTGCCACGTGTCTTGGACATGACGCCGAGATAATGTCGGCTAGGCCGAGATTATTTGAGAAGATACCGGAATCCGAGATAAGCGAATGAGGGACAAGAGTCCTAGAATGAGAGAAGACTTCAGTTTGGGTAAAGATAAGACTCTTAGAGAGTTTATCCCAATCTAACTGGGAGTCCTGGATTAGCATTGAGCCAGAGACCATTGAAGCTAGGCTTCTATTGGGATTAGGTCAGTGTTGGCTATAAAAGAGAGGCACCCTCGTGGGTCTAAGGTACGCTTTTTGTATTTTGAATAGTGAGTTAAGCACTTTTGCTATCTTTGAGAGATAACTGACTTGATCGTCGGAGTGCCCCTGGGTGGACGAACCACCGCTGGAGTCTTTTCTTTTTGTTTACAGGTCATTCGGGCTTAATCTATTTTTCCAGTGTTTTCCAGCTAAGTACCTGTTTGGCAGTGTGGTCGGAAATTGACACACACAATTTGGCGCCGTTTGTGGGAACGAAAGAAAAATAGATGGCTAACGATGGACATAAAGAAAAGGTTAGGGACGACATCCCTACTGGGAGTGGTAAACATATTGACCTTGACGTCGATGAAGATAATTGCAACGAAGAAACTCGGGATCCGAATCCCGGAGAGAAAGACGTCGGCAAGGAAGGTGATGTACCAAAGAAATCAGACCGCAGCGGGTATTATAACGAGAACGACCTCTAAGTATGGAAAGATAGATGCCTGCGTAGGGACGAAGAGATGAAGGGAATGATAGACAAATTAGCAGACCTGCAAGCGGTCGTCAATTTCATGATGCAGAACAACGTCATGCAGCCACTGTTCCCATTACAAGACACACCGATTCCAGCGGCCAAGAACAATACCCAGAAGGGAGGGCAGAAAACAGTCCCAATAGCCACCCAGCACGCCAGGACCAAGGAACACTCACACCGGCCTTCAAGGGAGGTCAGGTGAAGAGAGTCAATGAAAGGAGATTCACGGAGGACACATCATACCAAAGAAGCTGACCCCAAAGAACATCGGCATGTTCAAGTGAAAAAACTTTGTTTTAACGCAACTAACGGAGAGAGATCCAAGAGGACTCACAATGACACAGGAAGCAGCACGTCGAAAAGGCTAAAATTTGGAGATAGTTGAGCTCCAGGACAGACTAAGGAGGATCTGAGGGATTACCTCTAGAGAAAGCAACAAAATGCCGAGGTAACCTCCCCGGTTAAGCCGAGAACGCCGTTCTCGGTAGAGTTGGACAAATTCGAGGCCCCGAAAAGGTTCAGTATGCCAAGGTTCCAGATATACAATGGTAAGTCAGACCTCAACTTTCACGTCGGCCTGTACCTAAACTCGATGGCACTATACACTGGGAACGAGCCGTTGCTTTGCAAGGTGTTCCCCTCGTCTTTCGAGGAAATAGCATCGGACTGGTTTCACAAGTTGCCGAAAGAAACTGTGAAAACTTGGGAAGGCCTGGCCGAGATGTTCGTGGCCAGGTTTGTGACAAACAAGCTACATCCATTAAGGGTGGACTCCCTAATGGCTCTAAGAATTAGTGAGGATGAAAGCCTAAGGGCCTATGCCAAGAGGTACTATACAGTATTCAACCGGATACCAGGATACAACCAAGAGGTGGTGGTCGTGTCTTTTAAGAACGACATAAAATATGATTGTTTGCTTAGAAAATCATTAGCAAAGACACTGTCAAAAAGTATGGAGGAACTGATGGCCAAAATTGAGAAGTATGCGAGGGCCGAGGAAGACACGCCGAGGACAAAGGCGTCGAAACAAGAGAAGGGAAACGGCTCGCCGAAACGAGGCCGAGGTAATGGCGGGTACAACAAGCAAGAGACAGGATTAATGGCTGCGCAGATAGGATTAATGGCTGTCCGAATCCCAATTTACAAGGTCTTAGAGAAAATCCGAAATCAGCCTTATTACAGAGCACTAGTAAGGGCCCTTGGTGAATTTATGAAAAGAAGCATTGGCAAGCACTGCGCTTACCACAACGAAGATGGGCATCTGACTCAAGGATGCAGAGCCCTGAAGGAACATCTAGAAGACCTGGTAAGGCAATATCATTTAAGGGACCTTGTAGCCGAGGTCATGACAAGGGAAAAGCAAGCAAGACTACTACAGGCACCGGCAGCACCGCCTCTTCCAACACCCCAACCGCAGGCTGGCGGATCTCGGGTAATCAATGTGATTGACTCGAAGGTCAATGAGTATGAAATATGTGGGGAGACTCAGAAGGTAAAAAACTTGCAACATGTGTACCGGGTCAGGCAGAAAAAACCTAGGGCAGACGAGTGCCAGGGACCAGTGGTGTCCTTTACTGAGGAAGACCTGGAGATGGTGTAACATCTACACAACGATGCCCTGGTAATATCCCTCCAGATTGGAGAATGCTAGGTAAAGCGAATTCTAATCGATCAGGGTAGCTCTTGTGACATCTTTAGACACCCCATTTTTGACCGCCCTTAAGACTTGGGCGTTACTAATGGTTTACTTGGTGGAGAAAGGTGTGCAGGGAAAAAGTTCAATTTCTTCGGCAATGAGAGAGCCAAATCTCAACTTCACACCCCATTTTGGACCAAAGCTATTTTGGATGGTTTTTAGACTTTAAAACCCTCTCTTTCAAAACATTTTTGAAATAAAATTCCTACGATGCTCTGAGACTCACATTTTGTCAAATAATGCGCTTTTCGATAAACCGAGCAAGGACAAAGTGGAAATTAATGAAAGAGAGATGAAATCTTTGAAAAATCTTTCAAAACACCTTACTTAGGGGTTTGAAGTTGAAGAAAAGAGGAGAAGAGGGGAGAAAACAAGTTGGAGAAGAAGTTCGGCAAGGATCCGGGTAGAAGAGAGTCGAACGACCCTCGCTGAATCAGGCTTATTCATCTGCATACTTGGATTTTAGCTATGAGGCCACCACCGTTGAAACGCTTACTTCCGGGGCTTCGTTTCTCACTCAAGAATCTCCTAAAGCCAAGTCTGGGTGGGGGAGATATGGTTGGTTGAAGTTGGGCATCGTCCCGGTTGGATCGAA